ACTGTATCAAGAAATTGAACATTAGAGTCCATAGATGGTTCCATATTAAGCCAAAATTAAGTCATCTCCAAGGAATTCTCACAACACTAGTCAACCTTTAGTTTTCTCAGGAGGAAGACTTTCAATGAAGTACTTGATTTTCCATTCATCACAAAAAAAAACTTTAATGGTGTGGGACCAATAATAATAATTGGTTTCATTTAACTTCACAGTAGTAATATGCCTAACCGGATCATTCACGAAATAGACTTGTCAAACTGGATCACGCACAAGTATATGCCACAGTATCATTCAACGAACAAGGATTGCCAATCATTAAAGACTCTACAAATATATGTATAACATAAGCATTAGCACACCAATATGAGCACCTTTCCATTGTTACATTCCAAATGTGCTACAAGTCGAAATATAAGGATTGCTTCAGCTGACATCTGAAGAGTAACAAGATCTTGAACTTTTCTCTTTACTTGAAGAACTCGTTACAATGGATTCTTTTTTAGGCTAGTTATTGATATAAAGATTGAGTTTTACGAATATGGTAGATCTCCAATAGATCCAGTAACAATACCCGAAAAATTAAAACTAAAATTAAAATTAATCCAAAAATTCATTCTAGCATAAAAAGAAAATGTAAAGCGACAAAGGACCCCTATATATTGGTCTTATATATAGTTCAACTTAAGAGTTAGTACCTGATCAAGTAGAGTTCCACAACTGATATAGAGAAAGGGGTAGGAGTGTTGTCTTGAGGGTTTTATGTTAAGGTAATTGTTGGGTAACATGCTAAATTTCCCCTCATAATCGTATTCTAATCTGACCACCCATTGTTACAAACCCTGTAGACAAATCCATCCTATAAAAAAATCAGAAATTACAGGCAGTGAGACCTCATTATCATCATTTAACAAAAAAGAGCAACAAGGTCGATGGCCCAAGATTTATTATGAAATTTGGTGTAGTCTACAAGCAAAATCTGTAACGTTGGGCGGTTTAGAAGAGTAGATGAAATGGCATGCCTACTACCAAGTAATGAATTAATTTAATTCATTTGTCAAGGATGTTTGTGTGGCCAGTTACGATCCCATGTGGGCAACACAAAGGACATGATGTGTATCATGGATTTTATAATGATAATTAAGGGTAAATATGGAATTCAAAAGTTTTTTAAGTTATCTGCTTTTTATTAGTAGTATAGACATATATAGATTGTATTTGTACCTCATCTTTCTGATTGCTCTTGTATATGAGTTTTTCCATATCAAGCAATGCTCGCACAAGAGAATTTTGAAATATACATATTAGTTTGGTTGACCTTTACAGATATCTTTTTGCTGTCGCCTGTAGTTTGAACTCTGGAGATATTTGTTTGGCCAGCTGAAGACAAATTCCATGATCTAAACTATTCAGTTGTCCTTTTATGTGATGAAAAAGATATCTTTTATTTGGCTGGCTGGGTGCACTTTGTCCTATGTTGCGTGCTTATTGATTTTTTTTTTTTCAGCCGTATTTATCTATTTCTCTGAATGCAGTTTGCTTTGCCCCACATCATGGGCTGGGATCGGTACACAAACCAGCTTCCAAAAAGCATAGCTGACAATCCATCTAAGGTGGTTCCACAATTCATGGATCAGGAATGGGATAAATGAGTAAGTGTGTAACTGTCAGAGTAGGAAGAATTCTGTTCTGCTACTTATTCAAGTGTCACCTGGCACTTCACTATATGAAAAAAAAGTTTCATGTAAAAATTGTCCATGAAATTCGCTTACTTTTGGACCCTATTCCTGCAAAATGATTGGTGAATGCTTATGGATTGGATGACTCCTAGGACAGTCTTTTTCTAATCTCTTTTTTTATTGTTTTTTCTTTGTAGGTCGTTTTAAGTTGCATCGGGATGCTCTTTTATGTTTTCTGACATTGCAGTATATGAGAATGGTATGTGACACCAGAGATACCGCAGTGTAGTTAAAACGTGTCAAAGTTTTTTACATTATTGATATGGGTGGGCCTAGTTTCTGGTTTATTAGGATTCTGTGTTTGAGTGATGATGGTTATCTTTTTTTCACTCATGTTTCCATTTGGAATGGTGCAATTCTAGCTGCCCATATGCCTTGTAAGAGGCTGGTATCATCGATTTGGATGATTGCTGGCTTTGGTTTTTGATTTTATTTATTTGAAATTTTCGGTCAAGTGTTTTCATGATTCTAACTCTGCTAAATGGCGGACAATGTATTGTAGCTAATTAGTGAAATTAGCATGTTTATAAATCACTAGAATGCTCTCACAAAAAGCTTGTCTCGAAATCATGGCCTGTTCAAACTTCGAAATCATGGGTTAATGTTAGAAAGATGACTGTTGCCTTTGGGTAAAGAATTCTTATATTGTCGAAATCTCATGCATGTTGAAGCGGAATGTGAGTAATATAGGCAACCAAAAATGATGCCTAGCATTGAAAATATTTTCCGCCTACATGTGGGCTATAATGCGACAATAGGATAGAAGGCCCTGCCCAGAATGGCCTCGAGATAATAATATTGGTTTTTTTACATGAATTTGGATTTGGATTTGCATAGCATAAGAATGGTAGTGGGGGAGAAGTTTGGGCACAAAATGTTTGTTTTGCCTTGGAGGTTAAGCACAACTCTACTTGTCACAGGCCGGGCAAGTGCATTAAAACCGGTGTGGTTGTCTGCAACAGAGATACCATTATAGTATTGAAAATTACGCTAGCATACACCATCAGATTTATGATAAAAAAATAAAAAATAAAATACACCATCAGATTTTGTCACCATCTGACGTTGCCAGCGATTGCGTAATCACTATGTCACCAACAATAAAAATCATGAACAAAAATAATGCCATTTTGTTTCATTTCTTCCTGTGTTGCTCTGCCCTCCCAATCCCCAACACATGCACACTACCACCCATCAGTCTCCCCACAACCACGCCCCTTTCTCTCTTTGCTCTCCCTAATAGCTTTTATCAAAGAATCCACATTGTCCACCACTCTCTTCCTTGATCCCCCGACTTTAACAGTACTTGCCCACATGCACAGAAACGTCTCTCTCTCTCTACCTGCTCAAACATGTTAGGTCTTGGACTAGATACTGGCAATCACATGACTTGTACTTTAATTATTGGCAAGGTTGACTAGAAGACATCATTTGGCAGAGCTATCGACAAGCCTCAAGAGAATTAAGAGCAATCATGAATCATAAAATGAAAGATGAAGAGGCGTAAAACGATTGCACATGAATCAATGGTTGACGAAATCACGTGGTAAAGGAACATGAAAAGAGTTCAAGCAAATCTACAGACTGAACAAACGATCAGTAGAATAAATTGACCTAATTTGAATCATACACCTAAGTATAACTGGTCAAATTATAATATTATTCGATTATGTCCGAGGTTGAACCCATAAGAAGGCTATCTAATGGAATTCAAAAATATAAGAGGTAAGATTGTTGTGCACATAGTGTGCTTTACAATTGCTTGTGGTGTAAACTTACAATTGTCAAATAAATACTTAGGCTAAACTTTTGATTACAATAATTGAAAAATTACTCTTTAGTTTGGGGATCCAACATGCATTTTGTTGCTTGATTATGAAAATGCCACCTTACATCAATTAACTTCCATATTATTGGAAAGTCAATTGGTATGTTTGATGTATAAACTGAACCATATCACAACAACTGATTAGGTTAGCTGGAAGATTTATGCATCGTATAATAACCAAATAACCCTAGTAAACCTGAAGGTGAACAATTCAAATGTTTACTTTAGCTATTCGATCGACAGGTTGATGATTTAATGAAGACGGAGTTTTAATTTATGTATTGAACCAAAAGTATTAGCTATGATGAGATTTAACCCGTATATAACTAATATCTCGATTATTACATAAAACGCAACTATGTGAATCATTGTATCATGCATGAAGTACGTAATAACATAAAAATGAACTGGTATAGAGTAATAAGTTTAACTCGGTATTCGTAATCATGAGCATATAGTAATATGACACCGGACGAAAATAATAATAACCATAAAGGAGGTATAAACATTAAAGCATAGGTAAAATATCGACATTTCCATAACACAACAAATATTACACTTGTTTTCACCATTTACTAAAGAGTATAAATAGACTACTCACACTTCGTTGCTATAGACAATCAAGAAGAGTGAGATAATCTCATTACAACGTAATACAAATACAAAAATCAATGCAAAAGATCCTTTCCCAAGGAATAGTTGAAACACCCTCACTCTTATTACTAGCTAGACCACACAAGTGAGAGATGTTTAACCCTCCAAGTAAAAAAGATGTAAAAAAAATGTAGAAGAGGAGAAATTCTGGCTTAGGAGTGTTTAGGGCAAGGTTCCTTTTTCTCTGGCTCTAGTTTTCTTCTTTAGCAAAATCTGTGGAAAAAAATGGCTGAACTAGAAGGTCAATGTTAGGAACACAAAGAATAAACCTCAATATAAGCATGGCTGCTACTACAAAAGATTGAGGCGGATTCTATCATTGTTGCGGTCATTTCCCAACTTAATGTGGCTACTACTACAAAAGATTGGTTGATAGACTCTAGGGCTAGCAAACAAATATATGGCATTAGAAGTGTTTTTACCTCCTACACACCTTTGGGATATGAGAGGAACAAGTGTTTATGGGTGATACTAGACCTTCACCTATTATGGGTAAGGGTAAAGTAACATTGACGTAGAAAAATATCCTCTCATTATCTAATGTGCTCCACATGCTTAATATTCGTTGGGAGTTGGTGTCGATATTAGTCTATAATAAGGTGAGAGTGAAAGTAACCTTTGAGAGTCATAAGATCATAATGACCAAGAATAGAATATTTATTGGGAAAGGTTACTATTTTTTTTTAAAAAAAAAAAGAGAAATGCCATAAATGAAAGGACATGAATACAAGAAGCAAATAAACAAAGAAAAAACTAAACTAAAAAACAGGGGGCCAAAATGGCTACAGACCAATAAGAAAGCCAGTAGAGGCATAAACAAAAACCAAGCTGGGAATAGGAGCCAGCTGGGAGGCAAAAAGCTGCACAAAGCCAGTTGAACCACCAAGGATAACATTAAAACCAGCTGAAGGCATGAACTGGAAGAGAGCAGCAAAGGCCAGCAGAAAAGAAATGAAACAAACTGAAAGCCAGAGGGAACCAGCTGAGCAACAGCAAAGGGCCAAAAAGAAAACCGCTGGGGGACAAATGAACCAAAAGCCACAGCACCACCAGCTGAAAACCAGAAGGGAAGAAATCCCAAGGGCAGCAGCAAAGAGGGGCAGGAGAAGGGACCCAACAGTCATCCAGCTAATAGATAGGTGAAGACAAGGCAACTGGCAGAAAGCAGCCTCAAAATGAAGCAGGAAAACCAGGGGCGCCCAGCTGAAGTAGAAACCAACAGGCGCAGGCAGCAGCAACCTCAAGCAAAAAGGCAGAAAAGATGCCCCAAAGGAGAGCGGCCCAAAGCAGAAACAACCAGCTGAAACAGACACTAGCAGAAAGCAACAGCAGGGAACAGAAAAACCAGAGCCTCAACAAGAGAACAACAAAGCAGTAACAAAGGGAGCCAAAGATGGCTTTAATCCTTCAAGACAAGGATCCAAAGGAAAAAACCAACAGGTAGCTGGAGGCCAGCTGGAGAGCATTAAAACTAGCAGGAAGATCAGCCGGAACCAGCTGAACAACACCAATGGGCAAGAAAGAGAACCAACCCAAAATGTCAACCAATCCCTTGCCTCTGGGCACACACCACCATCCTCTTCAACCTTACATTAGGTAAACCATAATGATCTTGATGTAAAAGCAATTTGTCTTTTAATGGCAACTCCTCATCAGCAGCAATGTCAATCCTCCCTCCAGCTTGCATAGCGATAGTAGCCAGGAAGTCATCAACTTTATTTGTTTCCCTATATACATGTTTCACTTGAAAACTCAGCCCTCCAAGCAAGGGAAAGGTTACTATAATAAGGGTCTTTATATATAAATGTTGTTGAAGTTATGAATGAGAATACATTTGGCTCTTTTGCTTATCTGATTGACTCTCTTGATATGTGGCATGGTAGAATAGGTCGAATGAAATTTTCTTTTATCAAGAAATTGAGAGAATTAGATTTTATCTCAAAATTTTTGGATTCAAATGTTGATAAATGTGGAGTTTATGCCAAATCTAAAATTACGAAAAAGACTTCTAAGAACGGTTGAAAGAGAAACTAAGTTATTATGCTTAATGCATAGTGATTTAGGTGACCTTAAGAATACTCTGACAAGAGGTGAAAAAATATATTACATTACTTTTATTGATGATTTATATCAAATTATCCTTGCTTAAAAATAATGATGAAGCCAACGAAATGTTTATCAAGTATAAACTAAAAGTGGAAAA